ATTTTTGGTAGGCAAAAGGGTTTTGTAGGAGACCTCTTAGAGGTTTCGTTGTCAAAAGGTTTCGTATGATACTTTTTTTTCAGTGTAGTTATACCTGGTATTGAAAGTGTAAAAGCAAGTTTAGAATGGATGTCAAATGATACAAAACTATCAAATGAAAGAGGTAAGAATTATTATTATTTCTGATTTTCGCTGAACTATAATAGTTTATTTATTTTTCACTATAGATATATTGTTTTTTCGACAACGTGCGAAAATATTGCTGGAAGTTATGTTTGATTATCATCCCATTCATTTTATGGCTTTATTTTTAAACCCAAGAACTCGAAAAATGAAACAATGCACAAATGATGAAAAAAACTCATGTTTAGAATACATAAAACAAGAAATAATTATATTTGATGCATTTGATAATGATACACAATCGGAAGACAGTAACAATAATAGATCGATAAAAAGACGATCTGCCGAAGCGAATCAAGCTCTTCGAATAATGAAAAGATATTATGAAGAAGAAAATGAACAAGATGATTTACCAACAACAATTGCTGCAATACATCAAACAGAAATCGATAACTATTTAAAGTTTCGAACAGATAAGCTTAATGGATCATGCCACTCAAATTCTTCTCTGTGTGATGAAGAATATAATCCATAACATTTTTGGAAATGTAATCATGCATTATATCCACGTTTATAAAAAATTGCCAAACGTGTTTTTTCAGTCCCAGCAAGTAGTGCTGGTGTTGAACGTGAATTTTCTTTGGCAGGAAATATTATTACAAAAAAACGTTCACGATTATCTACGGAAACAGTAAATGATATAATTTTTCAAAACTCGTTTCAAAAATATAATCAAAAAAATGTTCAAACGATTAAACAATGATCACGAAATCATATTTCTCAACTCTTTTGAGAAATTTTGTTAATATTCTTTTTTTGCTTTTATATTTATTTATGTTCTCTAGTGTTTCATATTTTCTTTTTTGTACGATGTGTATATTTATATAAACTTGACTGCTTTGAACATGAACAAGGTGAAAAAAAATAGCTAAAATAATGTAGATCTATATAAATATACATATGTATTAGATATAAATCATTCAGAATAAGACGAACGACTTCAACTAAAGATTACATAGTTTTAGTTATCTGTAGTGGAGTTTCAGAATTTTCTTTTTCGGTTCGGTTCGGTTCAGGGCCCCTCAAAATCTTCTCGATTTCGGTTCGGTTCGGTTTTAAACATTTCGGTTTCGGTTCGGTTTAAATTTTGAAAAACCCCAACCGTGGCCATCTCTGGTATGCAAACAATAAAACAAATTGTCTCAATACCTTCTATATGGGAATGTTAGCTCTGAACAGTTTGTCCGAAAACGTTTCTAGCAGCGGTTAAAGGTGATAGATTTTTTCATGACTTACAAGATAGCTGATTTAGTTTTGCAACAAACTGACGATAAGTTAGAAAAATCAGTAAAAAGGTAGCAACATACGTTTCCCGGGAACGGTATGATGAATAGGGGTGCATCAGCTCCACCTCAAAAGTTCAGCTGNAAAGGTAGCAACATACGTTTCCCGGGAACGGTATGATGAATAGGGGTGCATCAGCTCCAGCTCAAAAGTTCAGCTGAGCTGAGCGAAAAAGCTGTTCGAACAGCTCCCGTTCCTAAACTGGAGTTTTTCAACAGTTCCTTTCAAAAGAGCTGATCTGATCGAACAGCTCTCTCTCTCTCAAGAACTGATTTGGACAGTATTTTTGGCGTAATGTCAATCAGTTCTTGAGAGAGAGAGAGAGAGAGAGCTGTTCGATCAGATCAGCTCTTTTGAAAGGAGCTGTTCAAAACAATCAGCTCATACAGAAATGAACTTTCGAACAGTTCCCTCGCTCAGAACTAGAGCTGAACTATTGCACCCCTGATGATGAAGACGCCTCTGTTGTACTTGAACGTTTTTCAGCAGACGAATACGATATAGAATATTCCGGTAGGGATCTGTAGAGAATTCGACGTGCTATCAGAATCTCTAATTACTTTGATAAAAAGAACAATCTTTGATAGTAATATATAGAAAGTACAGCGTTTAGTAATTTTTAGGACTAAGGAAATATATATAATCAGAAAAATAAAGTTATTATTCATGAGTCATCATCACTGTATGATGATTCATCGTCATTTATTGATAATCCATTGACGTTAAATGATAGTTCATCATCACTTGTTGATATTTCGCTATCGCTTATTACTAATTCATCGTCACGTGCCAATAAGTTTTCGTCAATAGCCCATGATAACTCAAACATATGACTTGCACCGTATTCTTTATATTGATCAAAACAAAATTTGACTAAATCCACCTCAAGATCACTGAGGTATTTACTTCCGTCACTTTCAGCACCAGTTTGATTCCTTGCATTGAGCCAAACGCTACTAAATTTCAACTCTCCATCAACATAGCTGAATCCCCCGCATGCAACACGATCTTGATCATAATCAATACCTAAAACATTCTTTAGTAAATAATCCTGTACTCGTCCTTGTCCAGCTGCTTTAAGATTTTCTTCTGGCCAATTGTCTGTACACTGTATGATGATATAGAAACTTCTTCCTTTGTATCCATATGCCTGACCACTTTCTATAAAAAGATCCATAAAAATAAACGATCATTGTGGAAGAAACAAGAGAATTTAGATAAACTTTCTGGTATAACATCATACCTAAATTTTGCCATTGAAACTGTCCATCAATTCCATAAATAATCGCGCCAGCATAATTGTTGCATGAATAGAATTCATCAGAAAACTGGGATATACGGCAGGTGACTGTTCCCATTTCTTCTTTCATCCGTCGGTAAAGGTACTTAAAATACTTTTTTCCCATCTGAAATAATACTAATCATTGAAAATATGTCACCCCGGAGTGGTTTTGAACGGTATGTTGTCGGTGAATAAAAATACCATATTCGGATTCAGCGTGGTCAGTTACCCCCCGTCTCCGTTGAGATCTCGAGAGGGTACCTCTGA